AGTGCATTGAGACTGGAGGATGAAAGGGGTGGGGCATAGGAGCCAAGGTTAATGAGGTTCTCGTACTTCCTGAGAGGATTATTGGAACAATGTGAGGTGTCTCTTGCAGCGTTTGGATTAGACTGAGTCTCTCCTTTCTTCATTGCATTGTACTTTTTTGTAAAATCAGCTAATGAAAATAAACAATGATCAATTAATGGGTGTGGCTAATTTATTATAAACTGCAAGTATTTTCACTGTTCCTTACCAGTTTCCTCTTCAAAATGCCACCCAATATCATCCTCTTCTTCCTCCTCCTCTCCCTCACTGCTCTGACTGTAGTATGCATCATATTCAAGAGCCTTTTCTTTCACTTTTGTGTCCGCCATGACAGAATGAATGGCATGCAAGTTCCCGGGATGGCCCGGGAAAATGAGCCTACTGCGCATGCCCAGTTCGTAATTAGATCTAATTATTCAAAATGGCGGGTCATATGAAGAAGGTAATTGACTCGTGTATAGCTTGTTTTGATATTTCTGTTCTTCTCTTTCATTTTATTTAGACATGGAGGAAGGATTGAGCTCTATTTTATCAGTATCTAACCGTCAGAGTGCCTCTCTCTCCAGCCGCTACCTTCTAAAGCCTTCAAGACAGGCACAGCATGGCCAGTTACAAATGGAGGCCGTTAAGAAGAAGCTTTTTGAAGGAGAGGAAGATGAGGAGGAGAATGGAGATCATGATAATCACTGGATTGATGGACAGACTCATAATGGAAGCCAAGTAAGTGATAGATAATGAAACACATGAATACACATGTACATTAATTAATTAATAATTAATTAATTGATTAAATTGTATTTTTATTGTTGCGCTGGTGCTTATTATCAAACTGGTTGTCATGGTTATGTTTACGTTGTGATAGGTTCCATGTTTGTTTAGTGATTGTGGATAATGTTAATAATAATATTTTAGTTGTCACAATAATTAATAATAATAAATAGCATTAATGAGCAAAGTTATAGCAATATAAAAACCAATAAAATAGTATAATATATACAGTACAGCGTAGCAGTACAGCGTAGCAGTACAGCATAGCAGTGTATGTATTTGTCAGAGAGTCTCCAGATAAGTTTTAGTAGAAGCGGAATCAAAGATATCACCTGCATACCATACTTATCAAACTGGTTGTCATGGTGATGTTTACGTTGTGATAGTTGCCATGTTTCTTTAGATAAAATAAAACATAAATAATTAAAATCAATGCAACAATCATATTATTGCTCATAACTAGTAAAAGCTGAAAGGCTCAGATCGGTTTGCTTTTTTGTACAGTCTTTTAATATAGTTTGATGTTAATGAAGGATGTTTTGTGCATATCAATGAATGTAAGTCTTCCCATACTATGATATCAAATTCATCCTTAAGAAGTTCAATTATTCCATTGTCATCATCACTATCATAAAGATGCCATATACGTCCTACATGTATTGTTGGTTTGTTATTGAGATCCTCAAAGTGCTTCAAGAGCTTTTCAGAGCATTCATGACAAGGAGAGTTCTTTATTAATAGATCAGTTATTTCAAAGGGATCCTTATTGTCATCAATAAATTTTATTTCTGCATGATCATCTTTGTCATTTCTGTAAACCTAATGAAGAGAATTACAATTACTGTATTAGTACATATACATATAACTTAATGTGCCTGTACCTCTCCAGTGTTTGTTAATAGGGGAGTGATCCCATTCTCAGGTGTAGCCTCTTCTACTAAGTGCCAATATTTGGATCCATTCATATTAGTCATAAATTCTGGTATTGGTTTCATGTTGTCATTTGTATCTGTTTCTGTACTTACATCTTCCTATAAGGGACTACAGTATATCAGTAAATATCTGTTCTTCTTACCTGTTTGTCAGTAACTGATTCAATAGAGCTGATGGAAGCACTCTTTTCATCTTCTTGATCATGTCCTGCATTAGTAATATCTTCAGTTGTATCTTCTTGTTTTGCTTCAGGACAACTGCTATCTTTATTTCTTTCTGTTAAGTCTTCTTGATCATGTCCTACATTAGTAATATCTTCAATTATTATATCTTCTTGTTTTGCTTTAGGACAACTGCTATCTTTATTTCTTTCTGCTAAGTCTAATGTTTCTCTCCTAGGCCTGGCCTCTTCCTGTTCATTAACTGGACTAACTTGAGTCCTATTACTTCTATCACTTCCACAACATAGATATCTTCTAATAAATTGCCTTATGCCCATTTTACTATTATAAGATAATTTAGGATTGTTATCTGCTGATGGAGCACTGCTGATGCATTATTGTTCATGAATACTTTCACCTCAGTATTGCTGGCTTAGGATGAATAAATGTAATAGCTATAGAAACAAGTAGTTCTAGATACATGTACATGCATATACTAGTAATAGTAATTTTATAGAATAGTACAACATGATTTATCAATGTTCTCTAATTTATTTCTTGTTTTATGAACATCTTTGTTGTATTTGGTTTCCCAAACTTTTATGCTAAAACCATTTTCTTTCATTCTTTTAAGTGCTGCTTTGTCTTTGAACCTTCCAATGTAAATATTTGGTTTGTTGCATTTGCTTTCAAAATGTCGTATGAGTTTCTCGGCACATCTTTTGCATGGGGAATTGCTGATCCAAATTACATCAATGTCTCTAATGTCATGTACTATTTCTATGAAGACTTCCTCAGCATGCTCTCTATCATCATCATCCCAGTAAATCTTACCATCATTACTAGTACGTAGTAATGTACTTTTACTAGTAAAGGCTAGATAGGCAGCCTTTGTCAATGAACGTTCGCTTCCTGTTGGTATAGATTTCTTGTGATTTGTGAAACACGGATAAAATGTGTAGAGAGGTGATTTCTCAGGACAGCAGCAGTGCATAAAGATCAGTATGACTATGATGACAGCCGCAACTTGTATTATAATGCAGAGATTAGTAAATCCATCCATGTTTACTCAACTCCCACCCATTAATGAATATCATTACATTATACATGTAAATATCATTACATAATGTAAAATATGAGTTCATTGATTAACCACTTTCTGTAAGTGGTAGTCTAGGCTAGTTAAGTGGAAAACTAAAATAATAAAGACTAACGTTTTACCCTTGAACTAATGTTACATGTACAATGTATACTATAATAATAAAGTAACTGGTCTATTACATGTCAATGTTCCTCAAGTATTCTCTTGTTTCTTCTTCGTCTTCATTTTTATCATCCTCCCATACTAGCAGCTTAAACCCTTTTCTTTTCATCTTCTTCAATCCTTCTTTATTAGACTCTTCATCACCATACTCTCCTCTCCATATCTTCCCAATGTACACAGTTGGTTTATTAGGCACAAGATTAAAGTATTCAATAAGTTTAGCAGCACACTTGCTACAGGGTGAGTTCTTGATCCAGATAGTGCCTATATTGCTAATATCTTCATCTCTTGTCTTCCTAATGAATACTTCCTCAGCATGTTTATATTCTTCACTCCAGTATATAGTTCCCCTAGCATACAGTAGTGTCCCACTGTTAGTGAAAGCATAATGAGCTGCTTCATCCAGTGAACAATGGCTACCAGTAGCTACTGGTCTTGGTCTATATGCTTCATCAACCCTTCCCATGGACACTCTATCCCTATAGTATAGTATATGATAATCTCAATACAGTCTATAGTGTGGTTAGTGTGGCTGTACTTACTCTCTTTTGATTCTTTTATTTCTTTTTTGAAAGAAGATCCAATAGATAACAAGACAGCTACAGACTATCAGTATTACTATTCCTCCTATTGTTACTTGTTCTTCATCACTTATGGTAGCCATCTTCCTTTTCAATCTTCCCGGACTTCCCCTCTGTAGCTGTCTAAACTAACTGTCCCACCCTCTTATTCTGTATAATCATCAGTGTATAGATACAATCAGTGTATAGATACAATCAGTGTATAGATACAATCAGTGTATAGATACAATCAGTGTATAGATACAATCAGTGTATAGATACAATCAGTGTATAGATACAATCAGTGTATAGATACAATCAGTGTATAGATACAATCAGTGTATAGATACAATCAGTGTATAGATACAATCAGTGTATAGATACAATCAGTGTATAGATACAATCAGTGTATAGATACAATCAGTGTATAGATACAATCAGTGTATAGATACAATCAGTGTATAGATACAATCAGTGTATAGATACAATCAGTGTATAGTGTTGGTTTACTATCTAATCATGTGGTGCTATTCATTAGTGGGTTTCATTGTTGTCCACTTTATTCATAAATGTTCATTCAACTTAAGGAAAATATTTTAATAAATAATAATAATAATAATAATAATAATAATAATAATAATAATAATAATAATGTTTTGTTTTGTTTCTCTTATTTTTTGTTTTGTCCTTAGTGCATTTCATTGTGTGTGTGTCTGTGTGTTGTGCTGTATCGTGCTTTTGTCTTTCTTTATAATAATAAAGAAAAAAGAAATGAAAAACCTACACAAAGACATACATTAATATTATAATTATCAAAGCAAGAGTACCTCATAATCTGCTATCATATGTCAATGTTCCTCAAGTATTCTCTTGTTTCATATGCTTCTTTGTTTTTATCATCCTCCCATACTAGCAGCTTGAATCCATTTCTTTCCATCTTCCTCAATCCTTCTTTATTTGCCCTTGCATCACCATATGCTCCTCTCCATATCTTCCCAATGTACACTGTTGGTTTATTAGGCACAAGATCAAAGTGGTCAATAAGTTGATCAGCACACCAGCAACAGGGTGAGTTCTTGATCCAGATTGTCTTTATATGGCTGATATCCTTGTACTTTGTCTTCCTAATGAATACTTGTTCAGCATGTTTAAAAGGTGTACTCCAGTAAATCCTTCCATCATCAGTACGTAGTAATGTCCCTCTTTGACTAAAAGCATCCTCAGCAGCATTGCCCAATGAATCATATGGTAGTGCTGATTCATAAACTCTACCAAACTGATTTTCTTCAATACAAAGGTCACATATGCAGTCATAGACTATGTCAAATGCTTGAGGAAAGTAATAGGAGACAAATATAAGAATACTGGCTATAGTAACAATCATGTAGGGTATAAGGATCCCAGGTGAATAGATGATGCAGCCATTGGCTATAAGAACTATAAGAAATAAGAACAGCCATCCTTCATCCATATTTCCTTCTTCTTGTTTGTCAAGAGACACGCCCAGTTTAAACTGTTACTGTAATATGAGTAATATAATATTAAACTATTAATAATTTATAAATCCTCTCTATTCTTAGTCTTCTCATTATTATTGTTCTGTATATTGTTAGCATACAGCACCTGTAGTTCACTCCAGCTGGTAACATTAAACCCGTTTTCAATTAGCTCCATCAGTGCCCTGTGCTGAGCCATCATACTGAAAGCACTGGTTGCTATGCGACCAATATGGAGACCAGGTTTAACTGGTAGAGACCTGAAGTGGTTGATGAGTGCTTTGGTACTCATGTGGGACGGAGTGGAGGTGATCCATAGTTCAGTGATCAGTGTTGGGTCTTTGTTGTCACTTACGAACATAATCTCAGGATGAATGGCATCTTTATATGTTGTGTATATCTAGGGAAGGTTTAATTGATTGTGTGGGCGGTTATTGGAGTACTTTTCCTTCGTTGGTTCTTAATAAACTTATTTTCTCTTTGAAAGCTTTAGCAGCTGCTTCCTCCACAGTATAATAACCTTTTAAACAAATAAATAAATAAATAAATAAATATGTACGATTACTTACTCTTTTCAGAAGTAGCATCAGTCAATAAGCAAGCACATATTATTATTGTGTTTAATATTTTCATCATTTTCCAGCTGTCAGCTCACACTCCCTATACTTTCTCTGTCTCTATTACATAATATAACATCATAATGGTGTGACCTTTTATGGACTGGTAATGAATATGATTATAGATAATGTGGGTGTGGTTTAACCTTCATCAAAAAGATATGTAATTACATTATGGTCGACTAATTAATTATAAAATATTACAATAATGCTGTTCTTCTAGTTCTTGCTCTCTCTCTACTTCATTTCTTAATCTCCTCAACTCTCTCTTCCCTTCTCTTATGTCTTGACACGTTTGAATATTTAATTGAGTCCAAACTTTCAATTTAAATCCATTTTTAATGAGCAGCTTCAATCCTTCCTTATCAGCCCAGCTGTCATTATTATCACTGTTCATTCCTATATATACCGTCGGCTTCCCTATGGGGTATAGCTTCACTAGACAGCTGCAGCACCTCCTGCAGGGAGGGTTCTTAATCCATAGTCTAGTTATTGTCTCAGGGTTTCTTGTACTGTCAGTGAATACCTCAATGGCATGGCGTAGGACAGAGTCCTTGTATATCCTACCGTCACTGGTTCTTAGCAGCTGCTCTGAGCTGGTCTCCAGTGCTAGTCTAACTGTCTCTCTCTTGGTATAGTAGCTCTTCATTCTACAGTAGTACCATATGTAGCCTATCAGTACTATCAGTGCAGCCTGACTGTATATCTCATTTATACTCTTAGTAGTTTGTAGGGACTCAGCTTCCTGTATGGAGTCTAGAGAGAGGGAGAGAGTAAGGGAGAGAAAAAGAGGGAGACTAACCTGCCATGTTCTCCAGTCATTCCCACCCTCTATTCATTCTTTATCACAATATCCAACACTAGACAGTTTTGATAACCTTTACCCACACAACATGTGTACTCATGCTGTGGTACAATACACAGTACAGTGCTATTCTGCACTGTGTATACAGTATTGGTACACAGTACAGTGCTGTACAGTATTGCTATACAGTATTGCTATACAGTATTGGTATAGTATTATGTGGATAGTGTAGTGTCTGTACTTTATTTTGAGGGTTTGTGTGTTAATTGTTGTCATAGTCCAACTATTGAACACCTGCATTATTATTAAATTATTTTATTTAAATTTATTTTTGGTAGGTTTGGGGTAATTCTTTGACCACACCCACTTCCCATCGCTCCACAGCTGCTATGGACTACACCTCCCCTCCTTCAAAATGTATTAGATTCAATTCACCAACCAACATCATCAACAGCACCTCATCATCAAAGTATGTTATTATCCTTTACACATCATTATGGTCATCATCATCTCTCCTCCAGTCATTATCCTCAAGATGAAGAGTATTCATTGCTACCTCCAAGATACCTAACCCCTGAACGCTCCACCCCTCTCTCCTCCCTCTCCCCCCTCTCCTCCCCCCCTCGTATTGATAGACTCAGACTCTTTGACACACCTCACACTCCAATGACCTTACTCAGGAGATCAAGTATGTCTGAGAACGACCTCAACATACAGTCTGACGTAATGATGACATCATCAGTACCGCCCCCTAACAACAGACCGGGTGGAGAGTCTAGTATTAGGTATGTTACTATATATAGACTGTAGTTACTATTTATAAACTGTGGTTACTGTGTTACTATTTTTAGACCCCGTATATCCCGCCTCACATTGTCTGGTCCTCCATTGAGACGGAATACATCCAAAGGAACTAACATTAACCCTTTCACTCCTAAAGATATCTACACACGGAGCAAGAGGAGCAGGGAGGACACTGAGAGGTGGAGAATATTAATTAATTAATTAATTTATTTATTTATTAATTAGGGCGTGTGCTAGTGAACATGGTGGAGGAAAGAGAAAAGTAAAAATAGACACACTGTTACTAATAATAGACACACTGTGTTACTAATAATAGATACACATTGTGTTACTGTGTTTCTATTTTAGGCGCTGGCTCTTAGAGAGAGTAATATTTATAGATACCGTGAGGAGTTCCATGAGGTCTGTATTATTGGGTCTGGCTCATTTGGTGTTGTATATAAGTGTATCAATAGACTAGGTCAGGATTAATAACTGTTATTAATTAATGTAATTATTATTAATAGATGGGTGTGTCTACGCATTAAAGAGATCACATAAACCAGTAGTAGGATCAGCTGATGAGTGAGTAATGATTAATTAATAATAATGAGACACCCTCTACTAGACCAGCTGCATTACGTGAGGTGTATGCTCATGCTGTCCTTGGGTCCCACCCTCACCTGGTCAGGTACTACTCAGCTTGGGCTGAAGATGATCACATGCTAATACAAAATGAATACTGCAACGGTGAACAATAGCTAATGTTTGTTTGTTTATTTATTTGTTTGTTTGTTTATTAATGGCAGGTGGTACTCTCTCGTCTCTTATCTCAAAGATACATAAAAGCACTCTCAGGTTTAATGAAGTTCAGCTAAACAGATTAATACAACATTTAGCAATGGTGGGCCACTAACCACTAGTAATAATAACAATATTAATTATCATTATCATTCTCCTCTGTCAGGGCCTGACCTACATACACTCAATGGGTTTGGTACATTTGGACATAAAACCAGAGAATGTGTTCATCAGTCTACCGACCCTACCTGATTCAAGACTACCCCCTCAGGCTGAGGTATCCTGGGACTCTCTCCTCATGTCTGAAGCTCTTTATAAAATAGGTACAATTGATGTTTAATGGAGGATGCTGTCACTCTCTTTCTCTCTCTCTCTCTCTCTCTCTCATAAGGTGACATGGGGCACGTGACTTCAGTGAAGAGTCCTCAAGTTGAAGATGGAGACTGTCGCTTTATATCACGTGAAGTTTTACAAGAAGTAATAATAATAATAATAATAATAATAATAATATAATTATTACCTTATTACCAATACCAATAGGATTATTCATCATTACTTGAGTCTGATGTATTCTCATTAGGACTCACTGTTTACTGTGCTGTGAGTTAATGCACTAATACCATAATATTATGTACACTACATTTTCTGATACATATTGATGTCCTTACGCTGCGTAGAAAGTTTGAGTCGATTCCGAGCTCAACTTTTCGAGTTATGGCCTTTTTTAAAAACGGGTCAATTTTTGAAAAATACCCAAGGCTATAGTTCATGGTTTTTTCCGAAAAACGGCTCAAAAATTACCCCAAAATTTTATTAGATTTTCTGATACATATTGATGTCCTTATGCTGTGTAGAAAGTTTGAGTCGATTCCGATAAGGAATTTTCAAGTTATGACCATTTTAAAAAACAGACCATTTTTTGAAAAATACCCAAGGCTATAGTCCATGGTTTTTTCCAAAAAATGGCTCAAAAATCACCCCAACATTTTATTAGATTTTCTGATACATATTGATGTCCTTATGCTGTGTAGAAAGTTTGAGGTGATACTGAGCTCAACTTTTCGAGTTATGGCCTTTTTTTAAAAACGGGTCAATTTTTGAAAAATACCCAAGCCTATAGTCCATGGATTTTTCCAAAAAATGGCTCCGAAATCACCCCAAATTTTTATTAGATTTTCTGATGCATATTGATGTCCTTATGCTGTGTAGAAAGTTTGAGTCGATTCCAAACTCAACTTTTCGAGTTATGGCCTTTTTTAAAAACGGGTCAATTTTTGAAAAATACCCAAGGCTATAGTCCATGGTTTTTCCCGAAAAATGGCTCAAAAATCACCCCAAAATTTTATTAGATTTTCTGATACATAATGATGTCCTTATGCTGTGTAGAAAGTTTGAGTCGATTCCGAAAAGGAATTTTCAAGTTATGACCATTTTAAAAAACAGACCATTTTTTGAAAAATACCCAAGGCTATAGTCCATGGTTTTTTCCAAAAAATGGCTCAAAAATCACCCCAAAATTTTATTAGATTTTCTGATACATATTGATGTCCTTATGCTGCGTAGAAAGTTTGAGTCGATTCCGAGCTCAACTTTTCGAGTTATGGCCTTTTTTTTAAAACGGGCCAATTTTTGAAAAATACCCAAGGCTATAGTCCATGGTTTTTTTCCGAAAAATGGCTCAAAAATCACCCCAAAATTTTATTAAATTTTCTGATACATATTGATGTCCTTATGCTGTGTAGAAAGTTTGAGTCGATTCCGAGCTCAACTTTTCGAGTTATGGCCTTTTTTTTTAAACGGGCCAATTTTTGAAAAATACCCAAGGCTATAGTCCATGGTTTTTTTCGAAAAATGGCTCAAAAATCACCCCAAATTTTTATTAGATTTTCTGATACATATTGATGTCCTTACGCTGCGTAGAAAGTTTGAGTCGATTCCGATAAGGAATTTTCAAGTTATGACCATTTAAAAAAACAGACCATTTTTTGAAAAATACCCAAGGCTATAGTCCATGGTTTTTTCCAAAAATTGGCTCAAAAATCACCCCAAATTTTTATTACATTTTCTGATACATATTGTTTGAGTCATTTCCGAGCTCAACGTTTCTAGTTATGACCATTAAAAAAACAGGCCAAGTGTAAATTTTTACAAATTTTTAAAGTTGCAGTATTCCTTTATTAATTAACATCATTATTAATTTATTATTATTTTTAGGGCAGTTTGTGTGATTTGCCTAAAAATGGACCCGAATGGCACAGAATTAGGTCAGTTAATATTAATAATTATTATTATTAATTATTTTTTAAATTAGAGATGGACATTTGCCGGCATTATCTCAGTGTTCAGAACATTTCAATAAATTATTATTGTCACTTGTTCATTCTTCACCTTCTAAAAGACCAACTGCTTCGGAGTTACAGTCTCATCCTATTGTATGCCCTTCAACTGAAAAAACAAAAGTATGATAATATATTAAATTGTTGTTGTTGTTGTTTATATTATTTTGTTGTTATTTACAGGCTCAATTAATGAAAGAGTTGAATGAAGAGAAGCTTAAGAATCAGATATTGACAAGGTGTTGTAGACTCTTTGTAACTATGAATGTGTAAATTATTTTGTGTCTTAGGGAACTTCGGGATTTAAGGGAATTTTCAAAATCTAAGAGAAAGAACAAATATTTGATAGGGGGTGGAGCCAGAGGGTGTCGCAGCATGAGTGCTGATGCATTCTATTAATCATAACTCTGACCATTCATTATTATTGTTGTTGTTATTATTATTGTTATTATTGTTGTTGTTATTGTTAATTATTTTTATTTTCATCTCATTTCTTGCTCTCTTGTTTTGTCTTTGATTGATATAACAACTGTCTCACTGTTCCTTTTCAATTGTTGTCATTTTGAAATTAATTATTATATTATCTAATAGCTCAGCAGCTATAATGCTAAACTTTAAAATAAAAAAATTAAATTTATAATTTTACGGGGAAAACAAACTTACAAAGTTTCCCCTGGAAAAATAATTTTTGGCAAATTTAAATTTTACCCAAAAATTGATTTATAATTTCCAGAAAAATTAGTTAGACGTCACACTAGTTTCGTGAACTTCCTGTTACGTCATTTTATAGTAGCACAATTTTTATTAGTGATGGCTGAGCTAGATGAGTTAGAGCTTGAAAGGATATGTTTATTAATCTTTCCTGACATATTCCGCTGCTGTATATTACTAGGAATGGAGCTGTCACTCGTAGAAACTGTATTGAACAGCAAAGACAGCTCTTTCATGAAGTGCAGGACGTTATTGGAAAGATGGAGAGCTACTATAAGGCCAGATGATGAAAGGTTGGCTGCTCTTATCTTAAAGTCTATTCTATAACAAATGTAATTGTAGAATTCATTTTATGGTTGTTGCTCCACCTACATACAATGTTTATACTTTCAATATTAGCCTCAATAAACACTAAATGATTATTATTAGATGATTCGATATCACTAATAGAATGCATCTCATTAAAGTTCTGCAAACTTTGAAGTACAATAAACTTGCAAGCTCAATCCTTCCGCCAGTAAAACAGGACAGTGACACAAGTCAGTAGCTAAACATATTATTAAATTATCCATTACACTGCATGTTGCCTAGCAGTAGATGTACAACCAAGTGATTGTGAAGGTATGCAACTATCATTCCATGCATCATTACTGACCATATTGGCATATCCACTATAGAACTGATCAAAGAAGATTTGGATTACGTTTGTGTGGAGTGTTCAAGTGATTGGGAGACATTAGCAGTACACCTTGGTCTCCCTCAGACTGAAACTGATGATATTAAGCAAAGAAATGGAACCACTCTTTACCACAAGATGTATCTTGCTCTACACAGGAAGTCATTAATGGACCGTTTCAACCGCAGTGACCTGGTAGCTGTGTTGAGAAGAATGGGGAAAGGAAGAATAGCAAGAAATATATCTGAAAGAAACTATTGACCATTATACATACATGACATCATTGTCTTAAATAAAAAATCAAAAATATTCAAAAGTTTGCAGCAATGGTAGATTCACACACAGACAGAGTTGGACTGGACCTAATATTAAGACTAACCTACACACATTGACATGCAAAAGGGCCAGGGAAAGTGAAACATATACATTATATTGAGCAGTTATTGTTTGTGTTTATTTTCTAAACCCAAATCCTTTTTTCTCCCACAACTTCCTCAAGCTTGACTGTGAGGGACCAGCTCTTTCATCAGCTCCTTTTTCATCTTTTCTCTTCTTTTTGGCTGGTCCTTCAGCACCTGATGCCTTAGGCTCCTCTAGAATGATACAATCTACGTATCCCTCTTGATCAACAACTCCTCTGTGTAGTTTAGGCCTCTCTTTCACTTCCTCTTCTTTCATCTCATGAACTACGGCAGTAGCAACATAGCCATCTTGATCCAAAGTAGCTTCTTTCTGTAACCTAGCTCTTGCCTTCAACTCTTGAATTTCACTGGTAGCAACGTATCCATCTTGGTCTTCAGACGGAGCCTTGACCATTTTCTTACCTTTCTTTGGCTTTGCTGTTGGTTTGGGCTGTGGCGCTGGTTTGCCTTTCTGCTGCATCTTTTCAATCTTCCTCTTGAGCCTTGGAGACATTTTTGGATAAGAGTATTCAAACTCCTCACCGTCATCATCAGCGCAGGCTCCTTTTTTACCTCTGATCTTCATCCTAGTAATGGCAGCAGCCGATTGAGTCTTGACCATGTCACCTTTTCCTTTGCGACCTTTCCTTGACCTCTGATAGTCCAATTCCACGTACTCTCCATGAGGAATTGTTTGACTCCTTTTCCTGAGGTCCACATATCCATCATCAGAGCTTGGCTGACGAGGTAATGAAGTTGATCTATTCACTACTGGATTGTATAAGTGGACTGATCGCTTTGTAGTTGTAACAATTTTCTGATACCCAACTTCAGCATCGGATATTGATCGTGGAGGTAAAGGAGGTCCCTTTTCTTCTTCTTCAGTCAGTTCAATCGGACTCTCTTTGAGGGTAGTGCAAGCTACGTAAGGTCTGCTTGTTCTTCTTGTCTCCACTTCTCCATTCTGCTGCTCCTGTCCTTTGTTAGATCTGGGAATGCATGATTTCATTGACTTGAAGTTTCCTTCAATTATGTACTCTACACAACAAACAATTAAGTCAATTAGTAAAAGTATTATTCAACATTACATCATCACACAATGTCCAATGCATGTTACACTCTCTTACTGGCTATTTTACGATGAGCTCTCATTTTTCCAAGAAATACAATAATAATGCCAGTGAGCACTACCAGCAATAATATAAGAATGACAAGTATGACAATAAATGCTGCTACTGATATCCCTCCTATACAGAGCAGATGTTGGCATGATATAGTGATCAATTACTCCTACACACATACCTTTAGATGAGACAGACTCTGTGGGGTTATCTGTGGAGTTATCTGAAAAATATAAAATAATAATATCATCATAAAGAGATAGAACAGTATGACTTACGACACTTATAATCAGTGGTGTTGACTTGACCAGTTGAACAGGAATCAGTACAGGATCCTTGTCCATCATAGAAAGGACAGCAAGTGGTTTCACTAATACATCGACCAGACCCTCTACACATTGATGGACATTCTAAGAAAGAAGGATAGTTATGCTTATGGACATACTTTAAATTGAGATTGATTATTTATATTACTATTACTAAATATGGTATAATAAGATTAACTAACCATTACAAGAGGCTCCAGGTTCACTGGAACTGTTGCTGTGCATGCATACCAGACAGTCCTCCCTAGCTACATTAGTGACATCAGCTGATACACTCATGCAAGAATCATTGCTCCATTCATTACCAGGACACTGCATCACAAGCTCATAAGTTCCAGTTCCATTGTGTAGTAACACTGTGACAGATCTATACATGTCCTGAGTATTTCCAGCAGCAAGACAGGTAAAAGTAATTGAATTATCAAAATTTCCTTGCAAACAAGCTCCTCCAGTAGCATCAATGCGCTCCTTTGTTGGCTTAGGACAGTCGCTCACTGCAGGGTGTACCAGTAACAAAGAAATCAACAGCAAAAGATATATAAATATAAAGGAGACCATCTTTGCCAGCTAACAGGGAGCTACGTGCACTGGGGAATTATGAAAAAGCATTCCCTTTTTATTGTAGGATGTATCAACCAATCAGATCAGCTACAACAGATAACATACAAGTTTACTAAAATATTATAAACCATAGCTACAATTCCAGGTAACCAGGAGCACCTGGAGTGTAGTGTAGTGGAGACGTGTATGGCATCACTCAAGAATGAAATAAGCAGCTCATTGAAGAATGACAAGAATTTGGAAACAGTGATAAATTGACATTTTGATTGGAGGACATTTTAATACAATATAATTATAACACAGTGACAGTGAAAATATAAGGCAATACAAGCAGTTCATGATAATCAGAATTATTTATAATAGCACTGAGATGTTTGGAATATACATAATAGATGATGATTATTGGGCTTTCCTGAAGCATACGGACTGAATAAGTGACCGAGTTAGGATAGAAGGGTATTTATACTAATAAGAGGAATCAATGTACGTTAGGAGGGGAATGCCAGCAACGACAGTAGAGTAAGAGCAGCTGTAGCTAATGGGGAGGGGGAGAGGCATAACAAATTGTATAGTAAATGGACAAATATTAACATACTATTGTAATCACTCACTCATAACTGACCTAATTCATTATTATTTGAAGTAATAGCAAGATCCGAAATGTATTGAAATCCATTCTCCCTATCAATGATCAGTCCAACTCTTTCATCATCAAGAGAAAGTTTTGAGAGGATTTTAACAACAAATAACTGAACCCTTTCATCCACAACATTCAAAAACTAAAAACCAAATTGATGACATCTTGACTACACCACTGGTACTACCTGTACTAAGAGAGGTGTTATATTGAGTTGGTTCATTGCTGATCTGTTAAGAGGATCCTTTGCTAAGAGGTACAGACAACATGTAGTACATTCCAAGAAATTACTCAATAGACATTCCTGTAAAATTATCATAATCACTACTACTGTACGGGAGTTACTATTACTCCAGGTTGGCCAGATCTCCTTTGTAATTCTTGGAATGATCTGTTCAGTAGCTGCCATAGTTTAGGAATGCAGCCCTGTTCCCTAAGGACTGTATGATTGTCTGAACAAAGAGATAAGTTCCTGAATAGTCCAATGAGTGCCTACAATTGTATTATTATATAATTATTATTAATATTTATTAATTTATTAGTAGTTACCTTAATCAGTGGGTATCTTGTTTGTGGCTGTAACAAGTTCATGAGCATAGGAATACCATTCAGTTCACGAATAGCATTCTGAGCCATTTCTGCTGCA